GTGAAAGCGAGGAAAAGGAATGACATGGAAAACGCTTTGGTGTAAAAATGAAAAAAGCAACACCCACACAGCAACACAAACACAAACACACACACACAGTAGTTGGGTTTTCTCATGTTATTTGTTCTTCCCTGTGTCTGTTGCTTAGATAGCAGGAGAGGGCTTGATTAGGAAAGGTGGGCCAAAGAGCTCTTTGTTTCCGCTTGATCTCCGTTTGTTTTTGAAGTCGGTAAAGGCCGCAAGGGACCAGAGTTTCCTCATCTACTTGCGCCAGATGGACCCAAAAAAGTGGATTCGACTGCTTGGGAGGGGTATATAAACCACACCGTCTCTTCTCGTTCTCTCAGCAACTGCAAAACACACACAACACCACACAAACAAACACACTGGAACATGAACGTGCGAATTTTGTTTTTTGCTCTTAATATTCGGTTTTTGGTTACACATAAAATTGGGAAGATTATTAAGTTTAGAGATTTTTTTTAGTTTTTAATTGTTGACATAATTGATAGCGAAATTCTTGCTTTTAAAACCCTTAAAATAAGGTTATGAACCACATTCACATAAATGTGTTTTTAAAGAAAAGGGATAGAGTTGTTTTTTTGTGTTTTTTCATTGAACAACAACCTTTTTTTAATGTTGTCGTTTGCAATTATATTACCTTCGGCACAAGACTCGTTTTGGGTTGCTGCTGATTCTTTCTTCTTCTTTGGGAAAAGGTATTCTCGAAGCTTTCAAGTACCAGGTTCCTTAGTCAGGCCTTGCTCGGTCCCTCGGTTACGTGCACTCATGGTAGCTGGCTAAATTACCAAGGCTTCAGGGCTTAATTAGCCGGGGTTCTTTTTCATCCTGCAGGTGGAGGCAGCCCGAAAATGGGACGAGGGGAATTGACTGGAAGGGTTGAGGGGAAGAGGGAGGGGGAGAATGGGAAGTGGTCAAAGGCTTGGGTTTTTAAGAAAGAAAAGGAAATGTCCTGGCGAAAATGTTGAATTGAGAACAGAAAGGTAAGTTGTGAGGAAGGCAAGAAGGCTAAAAGAAAAAAAGAATGGGAAAGAACACTAAGTTTCGAGATACGAGAAGCAGAACTGATAAAATGCCATTCTTAGTGACTCTTATTTTTGTTTAATGCTAGTATCCCGAACTACATGCTGTGAAAGGGTCTTGCTTGGTTGGGGTTTTGGCAGAGACCAGTTTTGCAATAATCATCAATATTCGTTTTGTTTACAGAATTTTAAGGGAACAAGGACAAGGTTAAGTGAAGTTCCCTGAAGAAAAAAAAAGCATGACACGCCGGAGAAGCAACCTGTTCTCCCTCTTTTTAGCTGTTGGATACGGCTCGAAGATCTGTCTTTGGAGGCGAGCGTCTGTGCCATTTTCAACGGTTGAAAATTCACACCACAGAGTTTGTTGCAAATCTGGCGTCCACAGCTCTTCGCATAGGGAAACACAGCCAAGAATAAAACAATTTCTGCCAGCGCTGCCATTTTTTGTAGAAACGGCCGTTGATGCAAACTTAACTCTTATTGTTTTTTGGCTCCA